GCCAAGAGTGAAGCAGGCAGGTGTGGGATTGGGGGCAGGCTCCAAGGTGGGCGCCTGCCAACAGCAACCACAAGGCAGCTCTTGACTTCCCCCACGCTCAAAGGGATCATTGTGTAGGGGGGGGGAGAAAGAAAGAAAGAGAGATGCAGGTTGGGTCTTTTAAACCCCGCAGTGACAGGGAGAGAAAGGGGAGGGAGGCAGATGCCAAAGCACGCCCGGGATGCACATCCCCGGCGCTGGGATGAGCCCTCTCCCATGGTGGAGAAGGCAGGAGCCATCCTGTGCCCTGGGGGAGCAGCACGCCCAGCACCCTCATGACAAACCTGGCTCACATCCGTGAAGTTTCCGTGCCCCAAACAGCCATTGCTGCCGCTGCCGAAGGTCATGATTATCCCCCTGTCTGGAAAAGCAGAAGGAAGTTGTGTTACTGGCATATATATGAGGTCCTGCAAGGCACACAAAGCTTGTGGGGACGGCTGTGGCTCCCAGGACCCACTCTGGTCCCTTCCAACCCAAACTGTTCTATGCTTGTACGATTCCATAACTTGCTGCAGGGGCCGGAAGCCTTTAGTGAGCTTCCAGAAAGCAGCGGCCGCAATGTGCTGTAACAACTCACCAAACAAAGAGCAGATGATAGCAGAGAGCTGAGATAACATTATTGCAGCTGTGTAACTCCACAGTGTGTCAAGGTGTTAAACACACAGAGGCACTCACTGAGCAGCCACCCAGCAGAGGGGAGGCAGGAAATGCCATGGAGACATAGGACAAACCCGTGCCTGTGGAGTTTGCCTATTGCACGTCTGTCATTTGCTGCCCTAATCCACAGCAGAAGTGCAAACAGGGCTCCCAGAGGACCATTGGGAGGGCTTTGCTCTACAAACAGAGCTGGTGTGTGTGCTCCTCTGCCAGCCAGAATGCTTCCTGGCCTGCTCTAAGGGGCCTTCAGACCTTGTTTTCCTATAGCTGAGGACAGCCAGCCCTGCAGGAGCTCACTCTGACTTCTCACTGCAACACCAGTCACTGCTGGTCACTGCCTGTGCCTACATCACGCTCACAGGGTATGTGACAAAGCCAGAACTTCCCAGATGCTCTTCACACTGCAGTCCCCACAGTACGGGTCAGTTCTGGCTTCAGGTGACCAGCCAGGACAACAAAAAGACGAGATCTGTGGCCCTCCCCACACCACACATACCTCTGGGACCAAGCTGACCAACGTGGCATCATAGGAGGACCATGTCTGTCATTTCTGCCCCCACCTGATGTTACATGAGAGGCCACACGGACCTTCCTGTCATCCCACCCCAGCATCTCTGGGGTTCCTCTCTGTGCTGGCTCCCCAGGCAGTTACACTGCATTTGCAAGCCAGATGCCATGCAGAGGGATGTGGGACTCAGGGAAGCGAAGGCAGGAGGCAGCAGCTCACCTGTGAGGCAGGCTGTGAAGAGATCACCACAGGACACGTGTTTGATGGTCACACCAGACTGACCCTCCAGAAAGCGGGACACAAACTGAGGCTGAAGCTGCTCGGTGGCTCCAGGGAGGGAAGGGCCTCCTGCAGCACCCATCGGGGGAGCCTGGTGGACAGAAGCTGTGTCATCTGCTGTGGGGTTGGAGACCTAAGACGAGCCCCTTCCCACAGTGTTACCCACACCCTGTGCTGGAGGCCACAGTGCCAGAGCCTATGCAGTGAGCAGAAGTGTGTCCTCCTCAGAACTCACACATCTGAAGCCATCGGTCACCATCACTCACCTCCCACATGATGAGCCTCCCTGATTTGGTGACCCCGGCCTTCTGTGTCCTGCCTGCAGACACCTGCACCACCTCAGTGTTAAGCATGGGCAGGCGCAGGGGGGTGGTGATCCCGCTCCCCCACGTGTAGATGGATGACAGAGGAGGAGGGATTCCTGTCCTAGCTGAGCCTCCTCGAACACCTACAGATCATAGAGAACTCATCAACATGGATCCCTGCCTCGCTTCCCATAGGAAAAGAAGAGACACCAGCCAGTCTGGGTGCCAGCATAGCTGCCTGCCAGCTATGCATTGCCAGAGCAGTGCCCGGGCCAAGGCTGGCAAGGGGCTGCTGCAGAGCTCCCAGCCAGGGCTGGGAACAGGTCCTTGTATTTATACCAGAACTGAGGGAAGTGGCACCATGACAGCTCTATCCTAATTGTTATCAATGCCAGCTGCATCAGGACATCCTCCTCAGCACCCCCCAGCTCATTCCCAGCCTTTGCTGGGAACAGCAGAAACTAGGTTCAAATCCTAGAAGAGGCAGCTGAAGAAAGAGCGCTGCTTGGTCCCCGAGGTGCCCATGGGTTTCTCCAGGGCTCAGGGAATGTGACTTCTCTTAAACTTCCTCTCTCCAGAAGCTCAAGTGCCTCTCTGACCCCCCGTCATCGAAAGGAAAGGGTCCTTCCAAATGGAGCTGAGTGGAACACACCATGCCAGGACTCACCCCTCGGCCTGGCACTGCTCACTCGTCCCCCCGTCCGGCTGTGGGTCACCGCTGGCACTGGAGCCAAGGGTTTTTCAGGCCTGCCAAACCAAAATCCAGCCCTTAGCGTCAGCTTGGTTCAGAGGGCCTGCAGAGCCCTGGATCACAGAAGGTCTGGGCAGGGCTACAGCATAAGCCATGGCTGAATAGCCTCGGTAGGTGCTTTAAAGCACCCGGAGAGGGGAGTTGGCATCACTTGGCTTCCCCCTGAACTCACAACTCTGTTCACTGTGATGACAAGCTCATACCTGCCATGGCACCTGCTATGGCCTCGAGCTGCTGGGCCAGGCTTGGCCTGCAGCAGCTGCACATTGGCTAACACGGGAGAGTTGCATGGGGAAATGCTCTCTCTGGAGCTCAGTGAGCAGGTCAGACACGTGAGAGCTGTGGCAGCCCGTCCCAAGGCACACAAAGGTGGCAGCTTCACTTGCCTTCTCATTTTGACACTGCCCACATCAGTGTAGAGGTTCAGAAGGGGCCGAATGCAGATGGCCTGGGCCATGATCTCATTCAGCTGGGGCCGCTTGGAAGGATCCAGGTTCAGCATGCTAAGGATGAGCTGGCGCAGGTCGGGGCTGTATCTGTCTGATATTGGGGCAAACGTTCCACTCATGATCTTCAGTACCAAGGCAGGAAGATTCTGGAGAGAAAACAAGAGACACATACAGTCTCCGGGTGGTCAGAGGCGAGGCTGAGGAGCAGGAAGCTCTCAGCACTGCCCTCTGCCTTCACACCTCCAGGCTCAGTGAGAAGAGTGATCCAAGCATACATTTTCACCTCCCTGAGAGGCCACAGCTCCCTGTGCTGTGTGTAAACCATGTCCCTCTTACCGCAGCTTCGAAAGCCCTCTTGAGGCTGGCGAGTTCATACAGCACACAGCCCAAAGCCCAGATATCACTCTTCTGGTTGTAAGGCTTCCCTTCACAGAGCTCTGGGGAGATGTAGCACGGGGTTCCCACAACCTACAGGAGACAAATTTACCATGCTGCTGGGAAACTGGGGCAGCAAGGTGAAAAGAGAAAGGCTCAGTTTAGAGCACAGCACGCAGGCTGATGAAAGCACCACCAACCAAAGCTTATGGAGCTGAGCTTTTTGTTCCCTGGTGTCAACATCTGCTTGAGAATCTCAGTAAAAAACATGAGGATTTGCCTTTCTGGTGACCTCCCTTGCTCATATAGAGATTACCTCTAATTTTGCTCTTAATCACTGGAGAGAATCAGAGCCTGGAGCAATGAGTGCGATACAAATGTCTACTCAGATTAGACCAGGTGGGGAATGGTACTCAGGCAGAGAGAGGAGATTAAGTCAAGTCAGGACAGCGAGGCACTAGCAGGGATTTTGTTGCCAAGTATGTGTCAGACAAGCCCTCAAACACCACCCCTCCCACTGTGACAGCGGGAGGAACCCTGTCTCCCCTCACCAGTGGGCCCAGACACCCCACCCTCTCCAGGTTTGGGAGGAAAGGTCTTCCTCACCTAGCTGCAGCCCAAAGAGCTGCAGGAAACTTGAGCGTGAAGACATCAGCTTGAGTAAACTCCGTGGAACAAAGCAGCATCGTGGCAGTAGGATGTGGCCTCCTGCAAGTGTGCTACATCCAACCTCACTGCCAGCTTCCAAGTGACTATCCTGAGCCAAGCCCAGAGTTTCCAGCTGCCTGCTGTGGTGGCAAGTAGCTCCCCTGCAGAGCCAGACCACTCACCGTGTAGGCTTTGCTCTTGCTGCTCAAGATTTTGGAGATACCAAAGTCTCCGATCTTGACAATCATGCGGTGCTTGTCCAAGAGGATGTTCTGAGTCTTCAGGTCACGGTGCAGGATCTGCTTAGTGTGCACGTGGTGGAGAGCCAGAAGGATCTGCACGAAGAAGTGCAGGATGGTGTCCTCATCCAGCAAGGAGTTGCAGCGCTTATGAATAAACTCTGCTAATGTGCCCCCTGTGAAGAACAATGAAAGGCTATCAGCAAGGGTGGCTGCACAAACCTAGCCTCAAATCCAGTGGGATTTAGCCACAGCATCTTAACAAGTCAAGCACATCCTGGTGGGACATGAAGCACGTGCTCCTGAGACCATGCAGAGAACAACAGCAGCACAGTTGGTGGGACAACGAAACGGCAAAAGAGAAGTCACTGTTGACATATTGTCAAAGGCAGCAGGAAAAGAAACACTAAAATTACAGCTCTTGGAGGAGGACACAAACCTCAAGAGCAGAACAAGATAAGCCTGTTCCGCAGAAGGGAACTCTTGCAGTCCAAGAGGCCACGTGGCACGGAGAGGCCCCTGTTGAGAAGGGGAGGTGCAGATTCAGGGCTCACGTACAGCTTCTCACAAACCTTAATGCAAATGTTGATTTCATCTGAAACTCCACAGCAGACCTCGTTAGAAATCACACCTTCCCACACAGAGCTGAGGGACCAGCAGCGTGGCCGAGAGCTGACACAGGGAAATGTGTGTGAAACCTAAGCCAAAGGCAGACGGCAGCACGCTTACTGGTGACAGAGGTGCTAGAAATCTCTTTGTTTTGGATATAATTAACATGCATAAGGCATAGAATCAGAGAATCATGGAATGGGTTGGGTTGGGAGGGACCTTAAAGCTCATCCAGTTCCAACCCCTGCCCCGGGCAGGGACACCTTCCACTAGAGCAGGTTGCTCCAAGCCCCTGTGTCCAACCTGGCCTTGAACACTGCCAGGGATGGGGCAGCCACAGCTCCTCTGGGCACCCTGTGCCAGCGCCTCAGTCACTTGGCTTATGGTCAACTTGGTGTCCACCAGGACCTCCAGATCCTTCTCATCATGAGAGATATGGTTAGACTTTGAGGGGACACAAAGCTTGACCCAAGCAAGTGCTTGCCATCCCATGGCCCTGCCGAGGACAAGGGACATCAGGGCCCACCTGGGGCGTACTCCATGGCGATCATGAGCGCCTTGTCCTCCAGGAAGTTCTCGTAGTACTCGATGACGTTGGGGTGGCTGAG